TTTTTCTTTTAATAATTCTTTATATTTTTACTCATTCTCACTTATTATTATTTATATTTATTTATATTATTATTTATATCATTTATAATTTATTGAATTATGATTAGTTGCCCTCCGGAGATATGAATTAAGTTAATTAATTCTGTTTAACCTATATGTAATTTAAATTAGAAATTCATATTAATTTATTTGTATTTTGTATTTATTTTTTTCTTATAAATAAGATCTCTCTGTTCTGTACTTTTAATCTAAGATCTGAATATTTTTAAATAATAAAAACAATCATAAATTATAAAATTAAAACTTATTCATATTGCATTTTATCTTATTTATAACTATTAACAAAATAATCTTACAGTTATACAGATTACTATTTTATAAATAAATATTAATTATCAATTTTTATTAAGAATTTATGAATTCTCTTAGTTAATATAAAATACCTAAGAATTATATATTCTGATACTATATTATTTCTGTAATCTGATATTATAGAATGATAAATAAAATATCTACCAAGACTTTTAAGATTCTTCATAAGAAAAATATTAAAAATCCATATTAAATATCTAACAAAAAGAATTATATAACATAAATAATAAAAATAATAAACTAATATCTATCAATATTTATAAATATATACTAATAATTATCATTATTAATATTTTATTATAGATATAATGCAAGATCTTAGCTACACAAAAAGTATTAATATCATTTATTAAAAAAGATTCTGGTTTTTGAAATCTTTTATGAGAATTATGGATAATTAAAATAGATAAAATAGTTTTAAAAAATATTAATATTCATCAACTATATCAAGAAGACTTTAATAATCTTTAAATAAAACTTGAGAAGTTCTTTAGCTTAAATGATAAGTCATATAATTAAGAGTTTACGTATTTTAAAATATATTCAAGTACTTATATAGAATTAACTAATATTATTTGAATAACTAATATATTTCATGACTTGAAATAATTTAATAATATTTCAGTCTCTATTAATAAAAAAGAAGAAATTTTTTGATATGAAAATATATTATATATTATATAATATTATAATACTATTTATTTACAATATTATATTATAAAAACTTCTATTATTAATAAATAATAATCTTAAATTTAGATATAATTATTATTTGAATTTTTTACATAAAAAATCACAAGCTATTAAAACTCATTTTATTACAATAATATGATATATTGAAAGAAAATAAAGATGAAAATACAAAACTTTATGAATGTTCAAGATTATGATTGATTAAATAATATATATATATATATTTAGATTCAGTTAATATGACAGTATATATTATATTAAAATATAGAAAAAATAATGAATATTTATTAAATAATATATATTTTTTAATATTTAATAAAAAGTGTTTTAAAAGTTTTAAATCTTGAAAATAATTGAATATATAAATATATATATATTTATTTAGATTATATAACCTAAACTAATATTAATATGATAAACTGGTTTTAAAATAAGTATTTAAGTTAACTATTAATATATATTATTTATTATTGATAAATAATATATTATAATAATAATTGATATATTATTATATATTAATAAATAATATATTAATAATAATTAATAATTATTAATATGAATATTTATCAAAGATTATTAGAGTTATCAATTAATATTAATATTTTAGAGAGATATTTATCAATTTTTATAGATATAGCAATGATTCTTAATGAATATCTCTCCAAAAAATTTCCTGATATATATATATTATATATATATTTTTACTTTGTTTTGCTTTAAATTAAATATAAAATTATAATATATATATATATATATATTAACTATTAAAAGTATCTGAATAAAATTATCTAAAAATAATTAATAATAATTAATATAATTAATAATTCAAAATTTTATAATTATTTTATTAGAATTTGCAAATTCTAAACTTTTAGAATATATCTTTTTATAAAAATTAATCTACTAAAATTTAGTAATTCTTTATTTGAATGAAATTAATTACTTTTATATTTACAATTTCAATTAATATTTTTAAAAGAATATATATATTAACTTTAAATAAAATTTATATAAATAAAATTAACAAATTCTGCACTATTTAATAGTTATTTATATTTTCTAAATTACTTTTCATTAATGAATTATAGATTAATTTGTATATATATATTTTATATAGTTATTTTATATTTTAGATCTATCAGAATATGATATCGAAGTGATTTGATCTTGATTTTTATATTTTCATTATTTTACTAATATAAATTTAGATATTCTAATATTTGACTAATTTATTTATTATTTTTTGAATTTTTGTAACCAATAATTTTTTTATATTCAAAGCTGCAAGCACTAATCTTTTAGATATTACTCAAAAATGATTATTTTAAAAAGTACAAAAAATATATTTTCTAAAAATAGAAATTAAGATGAATCTAATAAAGTAATTTGAATAGTTGATTAAATTTTGCAAATAATTGATCAGCACATTTTAGAAATAACCTGAAAATTTATAAATAAAAATATAAAATATCTATTTTCTAAACTAGAAAAACTAGATATATTCAATAAAAGTATAATAAAATTGAATGCATGAAAATGTTACAATCAGTGTTTAAAGTCTGTTGATTTTTCGGACAATGTTGGAAGAAATCTTAAAAATGATTTTCAAGCCTAATTTTAACTTTACAGTACAGTACATTTATTTGTTTCAAAAAAACATATTGTTTAGAGCTCTAATTTTATCTTCTAGTATCATAGTTTTATTTTAGTAGGTGTATCTTGTATTTATTCATTTTTTACAAGTTATCGTTATATACAGTACATGTAAATCCTTTGTTCAATTAGAGATAGATGCATAATGGTTCGCTAAAACTAGAGTTTTTAGGTTGTCAATTTCAGAAAATGCAAGCTATTGTTGTTTGTCTGACTGCGTATAATCTTATTGTGCATATATATTGCGCAAAATTTTTGAATCCGTTGGCACTTTCATAAATCAGATCTGAATAATTCATTATATGCAATATCCAAATAAACTATTGTAGATAATATTGCCTTTTAGAAGAGGATTTTTTCAAATAATAGAAGACTCAAATTTGTTTTTTAACACTCATATTGTTACCTGCCTACTGAACAAATCTTCAGCTAAATATTGAACTAGCTGATATTTTTTTCGTGCTTTTGTGTCAGGAACTTTGTATTTCTTTAAAATACAAAGCCAAAACAGAACGTTAGCGAATGATAATATATTAATCAAATCGGTAAGCTACTTAATAGTTTTTATTATTCAAGAAGCACATTCAATTAATATCAGAACATATGAAATGAAAGTGTTTAACAAAATGGCAAAAACTTCATTCTTAAATAATTTTCCAGTTTAGCGGATAAAAATCCATTATAAAAATTGTGCGATACATACATTTATCTAATTAATATATCGATAGCAGGCATGTTAGGTTAGTGACAGATAGAATAGAACGCCAATAACTATATTTTTGGATGTTCAGAGCGAAATTATTTTCTGATTATCACAGAAAGCACAAAGCAAAATAAAATTGAAAACATAAAAAGCTGTTTGAAGCATTAAACGCCTCTACATTGTCTAATCTCATCAAAAGCGACTTTTTTTTCGCATAATAATCATACAAAATGTCAAAAACCAAATTCATCGAGAGTCCACCTAAGGCGGGTGTCAAAATCATCGGTTCCCAATTAATCCCAAATTTGTCAACCCCACAACTTACTGGTAATAATCGGCGCAAACTAAAAAATGTGCCATAGATGCCAATCGACAATAGCCAGAGTACTCAGTGCCTTTTTCTCAGAATCGAGCAACGCTAGCCCGAACGCGGCATATAATTGTAAACAGAACAGAGCATTATCATAGCAACAATAGACCAGAATATTAATTGTGATGTTCCATGATAGAGTTTATAGCAATTTGGTGCGCTACCCACGAAATATGTCAAAGCAGCAAGAAGCAATTGAAATTAATGACACCTGCAATTCTGAAGTTGTGATGAGTTTAATTCTAGCACAAGTGATATAATTACTGTTTCAAGGGAGTTAATCCTGTTCCAGAAAGACAAAAAATGAAAAGAACAAAAGCCACGCTGATGGATCATCAATAAATGCATTCATATTTAAAAGATGGATTATGGTTCGTTATTGCCGTGTCAACAAAGGCGTATACTCATTTCTTTTTATGTCCACTATAACCTCCTCTTTGACGCATAATGAGATAATATGCAGCATGCCATAGATATTATACAGACAATAACTGAATGCAAATCCCAAGGATAAAAACATCCAATCTCCATTCATTATCAATAAGAAATATATCACTGTTGATAATAAGAATGTAAAAAGTTGAAAAATCTGAAGGGATAATATTTTAAATAATGAATAATAGGAATAGTACGAATGATTTATCCCGATGCAGTTCCATGATGATGTTTCTCAAAGTTTTTTGTAACAACATTAAGAACAGCCATACAGCTATAACCATATAATTACATCAAGGCTAAAATCAATAAAAATTGAAATTTTATTGATTACACTTATGAAAAACTTGATCCGTATAACTAAATCATACATAATAGGTTGCCATTAAAATAAACGAAAAGTGTCAATGAAAAATAAGTTATCTTCATTTCAATTTTGTTGAAAAGGTTCAAAAATCTCTAAAGAAGCTTCTTGTTTAGGCATCACAAATACTAGTGGCTAACTGACGACCATTTATTAAAGATATCTAATTTAGTTGAAAGAACGAGGATGGTGAGAGATAAGTCTAATAATTCATTACTTTATTCTTTATTTTCCGAGCTGCTTCATGATACAGATTCATATTAATATTTTCGATATAATAGACAAGATATGTTAAAGACTTTATATAATTAATCCTAAAGATCATGTAAAGGCAATGAAACATTAAATAAAACCAAAGTTTGCTTTATAGAAAGGTTCGAGAAGCTGAATAATTTTTGGACCATTTCTTAATGACTGATTCTAAATAATCTTTTAGTTTGGGATGTGGAATTATACAAGAATATTTAAATTTCAATAAGTCGTTTGGACATTAGGTAAGTAGGATTCCATCTTGCTTAGATATCAAGCTCGGAATGAGGTTAATATTTGATATGACATTTAGCTAGATTAATTGCAGAATCTTATATTAACGTTAAAGTTTAAAATATATCAGGCAAACATTGTCGTTATTGATATAAATAGATAGTTCAACTAAAAAAGTAAAAGATAAAATTAACATTTAAATAACAAAAATGTAATATACATGTATGTGTGTGCGCGCGCTTAAGCACTCCATTAACAACCCTACTTATATTCTACCTGAAGTCTTTTTTTTACATTTGTCATGTAATATATATAATTTCCATTATTTATATAAAGAGAAAAAGCAAGAATAACAAAATGTAGCTGATAATTTTCGGAATATAATCAAAACAAATTGTTAAGAAATATAAAATGAAATAAATGCAATAATACATTTTGAAATTGAACTTAAAAAATAATGCAGACATGTATATAATAAAACATTTAACATATCTCATACAATGGAAAGAATGAATATTTTTAAATATAAAATTAATAGCCAGAATTAATTTCTTCAAAATTAAAAAATTCAACCATTTCAGGCGCTAGATCATGCCCATTTTTTACAGCCTTCTGATACCACTTCAATGCTAATTCGAGATTTTTCGAAACACATATTCCATATTGATATAGAATTTTCCAAGATTAAATAGAGCTTTAATGAATCCTATCTCTGCGGCTCTTAAATACCAATAAAATGCTTCTTTATCATCTTTATTTGTTCCTTCGCCATATTCATAGCATTGCCCAAGTCGAAAATAGAAATGAGAATTACCATTTTTAGACGAGGTTAAAAGGAGGCCGCTTCGATTTCTTTTGAAATTAAATTTCTTTTATAACTATATATTAATAAAAATTGACTTCTTCCTCACCGGAATCAGCTGCTTTTAAAAGTAACTCCAATAATTTGTCTTCATGTTTTTCTATTTTGCTAGTATTATATAACAAAACAAGATTATATTGCGCATCAAGGTGTCCTGAATCTGCTGCTTTCAAGTACCACTCGAATGCTTTTTGTTCATCTTTGATTGTTCCTTCTCCATTTTTGTAACAGAGAGCAAGACCAAATTGCGCATTAAAGTGTCCTGATTCTGCTGCTTTCAAATACCACTCGAATGCTTTTTGTTCATCTTTGATTGTTCCTTCTCCATTTTCGTAGCAGAAAGCAAGACCAAATTGCGCATTAAGATGTCCTGATTCTGCTGCTTTCAAGTACCGCTCGAATGCATTTTGTTCATCTTTGATTGTTCCGTCTCTATTTTTGTAACAGAGAGCAAGACCAAATTGCGCATTAAACTGCACTGACTCTGCGTACCACTCGAATGCTTTTTGTTCATCTTTGATTGTTCCTTCGCCATTTTCATAATAGAGAGCAAGACCAAGTTGCGCATCAAGGTCTCCTGACTCTCCTGCTTTCAAGTACCACTCGAATGCTTTTTGTCCATCTTTTCTCGTCATTATATAATTTTCCAATTAAGTTTTGTGCTACAGCGTCTCCGTGAAATGCATATGATAAAGTAAAGCCGAGAATTGTTTCATATAGTAGATATAAATCAGCTTCGTAACTTTCATTGAATTTAAAAATATCGTAAAAGAGGATTAGTATAATTTCATCTAAGTTTTCTAAATGATGATATTGTTAAATTACATGTACGTACATATTTGATCCAAATAAGTTTCTGCAGATAAATTACAGTTACATGTATTTACAAAATGGGTTAGTTTTTTCGTGATACATGTACGGTAGCTGTCATAAATAACTGCATTCTTCCAAAAAAAAGCAAATCGCAATCATAAGTAATACTGATTTTTAGTATATAGTATAGTCGCCGTTGGACTCTATTAGTGCCATTATACGGCGTTTCATACTATCTATTAATTTTGCGGCAAATTCCGATGGAAGACGGATCCACTCTTTTGTTAGTTCTCCCTTTAATCCATTAATTGTATGAATTTTTTTTAAAGGTTTAATTTCATGACATGACACATGTTTTCTATAGGATTTTGATCTGAGGACATTAATGGCAGGGTAGTTCCTTGATATCTTTTTCCACCTTCCAATTTTCGCAATTCTTGAATGATATTTTCTTCTTGTAAGAACCAATCTAAGTTATCCTCACCAAAAAAACTCGGAGATGGAAGGCAGAAGACCCTTCTTGTAGATTTCATACATCAAGGTTCCATTGAAAGCATACCAACTCACCAAATCAAAGTTGAAAAACATCCTTTGATGGATGCTTAATAGTATGAAATACTTTTTTTCTCTCAATGGATTTCCAAACTTTTTTTGATAGAAATAGTTGAAAAGTACTTTTATTGGTAAAAGTAATCTGATTCCAACCAAAATTTTGATATCTCTTCATCCATTACAGCCATTTTTCTGATAAGAAGATATTTTGTAATTTTATTAGTATATTTTTCTTTAGCTTCACAAAGATGTCATTTAATATTTCTCATGCTAATATTAACATCATGTTTTTTTATATTCCATTATATTTGAATACTTGTTATACTATTTTTCATCTTTGCCATTTTCATTATTTATTTGTTTTGTTTTGGTATTATTTGGCATTGTGAATTTAATTTTTTTTTGATTACTTAGATTTTTTGAAATTCTCTATCTTTGAATCTAATTTTTTATAATATTCTTAGTAGAATTAATATTGATTGCTATTTTTTTCATAGTTTTATACAATCCTTATGAATATTTATAAAGAAAAATAATTTCATATTATTTATGTAGAGAGAATAATATTTTTTGAATGTAAAGTTTAATTAATTATCTAAATTTTTATTTATATATTATACTAATCTATAATTATATAAATTATAAGAATTAGTATCACTCTTGAATTTCAGAAATTTTTGAGAATATAAATCATATGATTTCTGAAAATTTTATAATATAAATACTTATAATTATTATTATAATATATTTACATATGCTAAATTTAGAGAATTAATTTGCAATATTTTAATTTTGTACCTATTCTATTTAATAAGTTTTTGAGAGATTAGACTGAAGTTTATTTAATTTTGAGATTTCTAATTTCTAAAGATATTATATTAGTAACTATAATTATTATAAATAATAAAGATGAATATTTAATTTATTTAAAGAATAATTTAAGAAGAAAGAAAAAAATTATATAATTAAAAAAGAAAATTTTTTTAATTATAGATTTTTTAAGTTTTACAAATCAAATTTCATAGAATTATAAGATATATAATTAAATAAAGTCTAGACTATTTTACAAGAAGAATTATATAGTGATTTTCTTTTGCTAAAAGTAATAAAATTCAAAATGTAATCTTTCTAGTTACATTATATAATATATTAGGAAAATTTATACAGAAGATTCAAGATATATAATAATGTTATTTAAAATAAAATTCACACAGAAAACTAATTCAAGACAGACAAGATTATTATATTTAAACTTATTCTTTATTCAATATTAATAATATTTAAAATTACAGATCAGATACAGTGTCTTTAAATAATAAATTAATATTACATAAAATTAATAATAAAATAAATAAATTAATAATAGAAATACTTATATAATAGTATCTCCAGAAAATACTTATTAATAAATAAATAAAGAAATAAATAATTATAAATGAAATATGTAAATTTAGTAATATGCTAGCTAAATTAGAACAAGAGAAAAAAGAAATTTTACTAAGAAAACTATTTATAGCTAAAATAACTCAAATATATCATGTGACTTTTCTTGACATAATTAGATGATTATAATACAGTAAGTTATATATGATACAGTATGTGATATAGTAATAATCTGCAAAATAAAATATAAATCTAATATAATTATTCTAATTTGTTATAATGCTTCCTCTCTTAAGAATCAATTTTTCTATTAATATTTTGATTCAAAAAATTTTACAAGTTCTATAGTATTATAAAGATTTTCCAAGAGTTCTCAAGTAAAATTATAAAGAAGGTAAATCTAGTCATTTAACTAAGTATTGAAATTTATTTCAAATGATTCTTTTATTCAAGATTACTTCTACTTCATATTCTTCTTTATTAGTTTCAGATATAATGATTGATTATGATAATGTTGAATAAATAAAATCTTTATTATCATTAGATTATATAATTTTAATAATAAAATATAAAAAACAGGATGAATTCTCATATGCAAAGATAAATCTAGTTTATATATAATAGGTAAAATAACTTTAAAAATAGAGAAAGAACTAATATATTTAGATATAAGCTTTTTACTAGAGCATTATTTATCTATAAGATTAATAATATTATGAGTTAAAAGTAAGATTTAATTTCCAATTTTAAATTCTTGATAATAATTATATTGATTAGCATATTTAGATTATTAATTCTGCACTTTTATCAATAAGTTTTTAGTATCTTTTATCATATTATTCTAATATTAAATAAATTTATTAGCAGCATTGACTTTATTATTTATGATAAGTGTTGTATATGTAATTAGATATTGATCATAATCTAACTCAAAAGATGTGTGATCAGAAAAAACTTGAATTGAATTATTATATATAAATTCAGCAGTAACAAGATATTTATCTTAGTAATCTTGATTATAAGTAAAATAAATTTGTAATATTTCTTCCAAAGTGTGATTTATTCTCTCAATTTATCCATCAGTTTGTGAGTGAAAAGCAGTTGACATAGCTAACTTAGTTCTAATTTATTCAAATAATAATTTCCAAAAATGACTAGTAAATTTAGTATTATAATCTGAAATTATAACTCAAGATAGTCTATGTAATTTAAAGATATTATTAAAGAAGAATTAGTAACTTCAGAGACAGTAATAATAGTATGTATAAGAATAAAATAAGCACATTTAGTAAGATAATTAACAATAACTAAAATTACATTATATTTTTGATAAATTATAAGTAATTACATGATAAAAATCAAAGTAATTTATTTTCTATACTGTACAGATATTTTCAAGAATTATAACAGATCTGAGAATAACTAATTATTACTTTTATTTCTTTAATATTCTTCACAACTAAGAATATATTTACAAATATTCTTAAATATTTTTAATTAATAATACGATCTTTGTAAATACTCATAAGTTTTATCAATTCCTAAATAATTAGAAATAGAAATATTATGATATTCTTCCAAAATTTGAGTTTTCAGAGTTTTATCCTTTGAAATAACTAATCAATTAGTGTTCTTTAAGTAAATTTTATTATCTTTTAATTCAAAATAATATATTCTTGCTTGTGGTTTTGATATAGATACTTCAAAATTATGAAAAGTTGTTTAGATTTTCTTGAAATAATTATCATTTTCATATTCTTGTTATAACTTTTTATCATTGATAAGTTATACAGAAATTGTAGTGATATTATTCACTTATAATAAATAAGATAAAGCATCAGCTATTATATTTTCCTTTCCTAGTTTATATTTAACAATGAAATTATTAGCTTATAAGATTTTTAGTTAGTAAGTTTGATATTTAGAAAGATTATGCTATATTTTAATATACTTAAGAGATACATGATTAATAATATGATAAATTATTATTCTTTCAAATATGATTTCTAAAAATGAATGGTATATATAATAGTAAGAAGTTTCTTTTTATGTATTAGATAGTTTTGTTCAGCTGAAGATAGTTTATATGATTTATAGGTGACAGATTGATCTTCTTTTTTATGATTTTGACTAAGAATAGCTTCTATAACAAATTCAGATGCATCAGTTATAATTGTGAAAGGTAGTTTAGGATCTGGCAAAATTAAGACAGATATAATAATTAAATACTATTTTAAATTATCAAATACTTTTTGTTCAGACTTATTTCAAATATCTTCTTAATCTTTATGAAGTAGAGTTATAAGTGGTGAAGTAATTGTAAAAAATTCTTTTACAAATTTTCTGTAGTAACTAGTGAGACCTAAGAATGATCAAAGTTCAGAGATATTTATTAGCTTATATTGATCAACTAATATTTCTTAATCCAAAATAAAATGATCTAAATATTTGACATATTACTTGATGAGTTTATATTTCTTTAATTTAGCATAAAGTTTATATTTATGAAGTTTAGAAAGAATAATATAAAAATTTTGGAAATATTCTTTCTTAGTATTACTGAATACAAGAATATTATTAAGATAGATAATAATGAATTTATTCAAATAATTATGAAAAATATTATTTATAAGAGTTATAAAAGTTATAAATGCATTGATAAGACCAAAGAAAAGTATAAGAAATTTATAATAATCATATCTTGTTCTAAACAATATTTTATAAATATTTTCTGATTTGATAATATTCAGAGTAGAGATCTAATTTAGAAAATATTATATTCTAGTAAGATAATCTATTAATTTATTAATATGAGATAAAAAGTATCAGTTTTTAATTATAATTTTATTCAAGTTATGATAATCAACACAAAAATGAAGAGTTTCTTTCTTTTTATATATAAATAAGACAGATACTCTAAATAGTAAAAGA